ATAGCTAGTGTGTGGTGAGCGGACTGGCGCTGTTGTCCTGTGGCTGCCATCGCATCATCCAAGCTGGGCACTGGTGGGGATATAGAGAGACCCCCTCCAGTGTTTTGGGTGTATGGCCATACACAATAAACGCGCTATAAAAATCCACTTTACTTAACTACTTAACTATGGCTGAGGCTATTAACTTAGGGCGTTCACATATCCTGCATTTTGTGTGCAAAAGTTCTTTATTTTCAATGGAGGTGCATGGCTGGTGCACATATGGCTCGTGGGCTGCACTCATGCTTTAAATGCATACCTAGTTGAAAGAATGGAGCGAACGCACCACGAGTCATGTGACAAGAACTGACCTGTCAGCTTCATATTTCTGCTGCAAAGAAAAAAAAAATACAAAAGAAAAAAAACCAAACAAGTTCATAATATAATTGATCAAAAGTGCCTTTCAACCAGAGGTTCAGCAGCCTTTGACTACATTTGCTCTCTTTAAAAGGGAAATACATAACTAATATGTAGCTTAGATTTAATTCAGACAAATAGTTTATTTATTTATTTATTTATTCATTCATTGTACTATCATTTATTTTCAGTGTAATATTATTACGCTAAAATTGTTTCACCTATTTCAAATTTCAAATTGTTTCGCCTATTTTTAAGCCAAAAAATTAACTACTGTTTTTTATTTTATTTTATACTGTATTATTTAGTTGTGGAGCAACAATAAACAACACTTTAAAATATAACGAGTTTTCATGCGATTTAATAAACTAGTAGTGTTTAGAAATGAACAACAATAACTTACGTGTCTAAGGAGGAACATTGTTTACCTGAGAGCTGTTCTCATCTGCAAACGCTGAGATCCGGATTTGCTTGTAGTCTTCTCTTCATAAAGATGCGGCTCTAGTTGCTGGTGATTGTCCTGTCTCTACAGATTTGGTAAGTGAGCGACCAGTGCTCTTTGTTTATTCAGATTGTTCGTATTGAACTAAGTTAACTATTGCACCGAGTGTAAACATGTTAGCACTACAACCAAACTTTAACCTTGTGTAGGATTTTCACCGCATTTAGTGACCGGAATAACACACGCGGCTTTCTGACACTACCTGCTGAGTGCATTTAAGTTTCCGGGAAATGCTGAGTTTTTTTTTCTCTCATTCACCGTGTGGTATCAAACATTGCATAAAAAATACACGCTTAGAGCAGTTCCTCAAATCAAATATCTCGTTTGTCGCGAGGGACATGTATGAATTCCCTGAATGAAAGAGCCAAACTGCAGTTAAAGTCCACCATTTAATAATTTGGCAAATAATTTGACTACAGTTGTCCATGTAAACACAGTCACTTTGTCCCCTCTGTGTGTGTGTGTGTGTGTGTGTGTTTTGACTCTGAAAGTCAGCGCGCCCAAATAGACCCTCCCACACCATGCCTCGTTTCTTCCTCCGACACTCCCCCCTAAACAAAGCTGGACATGCCCACTTTTCTGACTTTTTCCAAAGTAGAGGTGTGAAAACACCCTGCTGAAACGAGGGGGTTTCATGGCCCTTTAATAACCATGATAACCGTGAAACCGTGATTATTCCTCAAACTATAATTGTGCAACCAAAATTTATAATCATTGCATTTCTACCAAGCTTGTACACAGAGTGTAATACCTACGAGCACTAGATTAACTATGGCTGAAGCTATTAACTAAGGGCATTCACAAACTGTGTGTTTTGTATGCGTGAGTTCGTTATTTCCAATGGATGTACGCGAGAGAAATGGACTATCGTTTGTTTTTACTATTATTTTGTGCTGTATAATTTGGTTACTGAGCAGCAATAAATACCACTGTAAAATATAAGGAGTTTTAATGTGATTTACCAAACTAGTAGTGTTTTGAAATTAATGAATGCATAATAATCGTAATAACTGTGATTATTCCTCGTGATTATAATCATACAACCAAAATATAAAATCGTTGTATTCCTAATTGCTTGCTTTAGGAAGTAACTTAAACAACACCCCAAACAATACTGCGTGCCAGGTTAAACACATTCGTTGTATGCGGAAACATGAATAGCTTATAAAATGTATAAAGTCTAAGTGAATTCAGTCAAACTCCTCTTGTGACCCATCTTTTGTAATCGAAACAAATCTGCCAAGTGTGAACATACCTTTAGCAGCCAATCTTACAGTTCAAGAATTGAGTTCAGAGATACAACAAGCCGATTCAAACAGTAACTATATTAAGTTGTTTTGTGTAACAGATTGAAAGAACTCTCTGTTAGGGCCAAGATGTACATCTGGAGTTGCATTGTGTGTTTGATAATCTAAAAAAAAGACTTAAAAGTTTCACCTGTTTGTAAATCTTACCACACACTGTGTGTTTTTTTTGTGTGAATCAATCTACACTGAACATCAAATAATGTTACATCTCAATATAAAAGTTTTTTGACATTATTTAGCAGTCTTTTCATCTCATCACATTCAATTTGGACTGCAAACATGAATAACATAATAGTCAGTCTACATTTGTAGCACATTTATACATGTCAATATAAAAGATCTCCTACCATTATTTTCTAGCACACTCTTTTAATTTCATTCAGTTCTGGCTGCAAACGGGGCTATTATATATTTTATATAAAATATGGCTTGCTTTTGTGAATGAGTCTACATTACCGGCACTGTTACATCTCAATAAAAAGGTTTCTTTTTTTGTCAGCGTTATTTTCCGGTACACCATCTTTTCATCTCATCACACTAAAGACTGCTTGCAAAATCATTTTCAAGTCAAAGTTAAAGGATAGATGGATTCGCTATGAACAAACATGTGCATTTATTCCATTGAGAGCACTCGTACACTTACATAATTACACTTTTAATATTCCAGAGCACTTCAATATGATTTAGTTCAGATGAACAAAAGGCAGATTCCTATTTGACATTTTGTAGCACTTTTTGTAATATTTCACGATTTCATATAAACATTGCATAAGGTTTATGGAGTTGTTTCCTTTCTTTTGAAATGTATTTTTATACATTAAAGCAATTTACAAACACATAACTAAACATTCCATGAGAGCAGCAGTAGTTCAAATAATAAAAGAAATATCAATACTAAAAAATGAAATAATACAAATAAAAAACACAATCATTTTTCAAGAATACAGCTGGAAATAAGTGAAGGTTTCTTACTGGTCAGTAATTAATTTTTAATGTGTCCAAATAGAAAGCAACAGGTGCCCATCTTTGTATAATATGTCCAGTTTCAATTGAAGTTGGGCAGTCATACATTTCATTCTGTAGATGGATTCCAGTTTTCTCTCCACTGAGCTATCGTTGGAGTGTGTGCCTTCATCCAATTAATTGTTATAGTTTTTTGTGCGCTTAAAGTTTATGTGGTGTATATATCTGCTTTTTTATATGGACCCTGGGGTGTTCATTTCAGCAAGAAAAACAAAGGAGTTAAAACCAGATCTACATTTACTGGCCACTTTGTTAGGTTCACCTTACTAGTACAGAGTTGAACACAATTATTCAGTTTTTACAAGAACTGCTTTAATCCTTTGTGCCATAGATTCAACATGGTACTGGAAATATTTCTCAGAGATTTTGGTCTATATTCACACGACAGTATCACGCAGGTGCTGAAGATTTGTCAGCTTTACATCCATAATGTGAATCTCCTGTTCCACCACAAATCCCAAAGGTGCTCTATTGGATTGAGATCTGGTGACTTTGGAGGCCATTTGAGTACAGTGAACTCATTGTCATGTTCAAGAAACCAGTCTGAGATGATTTGTGCTATATCACATGGCACATTATCCTGCTGGAAGTAGCCATCAGAAGATGGGCACACTGGTCATAAAGGGATGGACATGGTCAGCAACAATACTCAGGTAGTCTGTAGTGTTGACACAATGCTTAATTGGTACTAATGTAGAAATGATCCCCCACACCATTACACCACTACCAGCAGCCTGAACCGCTGTTACAAGGCAAAATAGATCCATGCTTTCATGTTGTTGACGTCAAATTCTGACCCTACCATCCAAATGTTGCTGCAGAAATCGAGACTCATCAGACTAGGCAACATTTTTCCAATCTTCTACTTTCCAATTTTGGCGAGGCTGGGTGAATTGTAGGCTCAGTTTCCTGTTCTTAGCTGGAACTCAGTGTTGTCTTCTGCTGGTGTAGCTTATCTACCTCAAGGTTTGATGTGTTGTGCATACAGAGATGCTATTCTACATGCCTTGGTTGTAACGAGTGGTTATTTGAGTTACTGTTGCCTTTCTTTCAGCTCAAACCAGTCAGGACATTCTCCTTCTGACCTCTGGCATCAACAAGGCATTTGCTCCACAGAACAGCTGCTCGCTGGATATTTTCTCTATTTCAGACCATCCTCTGTACATCCTAGAAATGCTTGTGCGTGAAAATTTCAGTAGATCAGCAGTTTCTGAAATACTCAGACCAGCCTGTCTGGCACCAACAACGATGCCACGTTCAGAGTCACTTAAATCACCTTTCATTCCTATTATGATGCTTTGTTTGAACTGCAGCAGATCATCTTGACCATGTCTACATGCCTAAATGCATTGAGTTGCTGCCATGTGATTGGCTGATTAGAAATTTGCGTTAATGAGCGGTTGAACAGGTGTACTTAATAAAGTGGCCAGTGACTGTTTATGTAAAATTTTCATAACCTCAATCTTTACCCCTTGACAGTTGTTTCTTTGCAATGCAATTGTTTTTGTTTATTATAGATCTGCAAGCTTGATACTTTTAAGTGTAGTGTCATTTACCATGTGGTTTAACAAGGTCACTTCACACTATTCAAGATTTAATTTGAAAAACGCTTATTGAACATAATATAAATAGTATATCTCAATCACAGGCAAGGTTCAGGGACATCATGTTCAATAAATCTTTCAGCAGTCTGCACCTGAAGGAAGCATATCTTGTTAAAAATAGCCTGTGTTAACCTGGTCTTTTGTGCGTGTGTGTGTGTGTGTTTGTAGGGATGGGTGTTCCTACAGTCACAGCAGCCCGGATTTTAAAGGGTCAGTTGAGTGGACAGAACGGAGAGGAAACACAACTGGAAATGGACAAATTTCCCCACGTCGCCCTCTCTAAGGTACATCCTGCATGCTGTAATCCCATCATGCCATTGCTTTGTGTTCATAATCCATGCAGTCATCCACCCCGGGACACAGTGGACAGGTTTAAATCATAGTTTGATTTCACTGTCAGCCACAGTTCAGGGAATATCTTTCACATATTTCACAGATATCAGTCATTATTAAAGATGGTCAGTTATTGTTTTCTACGTGTAGTCAGCTGTTTTTCCTTTGGCTTCATGTTAATTTTTCTGTCGGAATGTTTATTTAAAACGTGCTGTATCGTATTTAACACATTTTAAAATTACATAACCAGCATGATTTAAGATCAGCTGAGAAATTTAACAAATACTGCTGCGTGCCTTTTGTCATCTGAGTGATATATATAGTTACAAAATAAAAGCATTTTTAGTATATTTTTATAAATGTTTGACTTTAGGCTTATTTTTCTGTGAATTCTTATCATCACTCGCTGGACTGAAGCAACTGAGGTTTGCTTGATTATAGCATTATTAAAGTAATGGTCTATTTATATAGCACCTTTTTACAGACATTATGTCACAAAGTGCTTTAAAAGAAAACCAGAAAAACAGGTAAAATTACACATATCAATAAAAGAAAACATATTAAAACAAGTTAAATATCCAAGTGTAGAAACACCAATGTAATACTAACTCGCAATACTGTTAATTAAAAGCTTGACCAAAAAGATCTTTAAATACTCTTTAAAAAATCTTTAAATACTTTTTAAAAGGTTTAGCGGATCCCAGACTTTTCAGTGCTAGAGGGAGAGAGTTCCAGAGCCTTGGGGCCACAACACAGAAGGCATGGTCACCTTTAGTCTTAAGATGAGTTCTGGGAATGGGTAAAAGGTCTTTGCCAGAAGACCTCAGAGACCGGTTACATGAGTGACTACGGGAAAGATCTTGAATATATCTGACCATGCAGACTGAGCTCTATATGTAATTACCAGAATCTTAAAATTGACTCTAAAACTAACAGGAAGCCAATGAAGTGCTGTAAGCGCAGGAGTAATGTGCGACCTCCTACTAGTGTTGGTTAAAAGCCTCGCAGCTGCATTCTGCACAACTTGAAATCGATCCATAGAAGATTTGTTCAGACAAGTGAACAGTACATTACAATAATCCAACTGTGAAGAGATAAAGGCAGGGACAAGCATCTCCATCTCTTCCTTTGAAGCAATATTTCAGATTTTTGTGATGTTGCTCAGATGTAAAAAGCATGTACGAACAACACACTTAACTATTGAAACACAGAGCTCTATAAAAGATGATCATTCACAACACAAGAGTAAAAATCTGGCCAATCAGAGCAGAGTAGATTCTCATAGTGGAGGGGTGTAGAGAGATTATATCCTTAAACAAACCATTTCAGACACTTTGATGAAAAAGCTGATGCTGCTGTGTATTATTAAAAAACTAAGTATTTTTTTTACTTTTAGCATTTGTTTGAATATTTATAAGACCTCCAAAACAAACTATGCAAATGTAATGATCAATGCTAAATCAGGAACTCAACCATTGAGGAAATTACAAGTCTCAATTGAAGTTGGAATAAATTTCTTTAGCTTTAACCCCAGGAACTGCTTTGTTTTTTAAGCTTATTAGTTGTTGACAACAGGACTAAGCACATCATTTACCATCACCATTTGTCTTTTGTTCTCGGAGAACCAAGGAGTGAAAGACCACTTGAAAAACAGGCTATTTTTATTTGCTGAAAGGCACAAAAAAGGACAATATCAGCATCACAGACTAACCTATTCAGCATCATTTTCCCATCGTCACCATCATGTGAACGATCAACCACAATCTCACTAAACTACTGAAAGGAAGGTCATCACAGATCACAAACTATTTCACAAACGGGACATACAAAGGAGCAAATCCACTCCATATCCATTCACTTAACCATATGGTAATGAGTATGAGATACTATATGAGGTTTTGAGTATGAGATGAGAATGAGTTACTCATTTGTATGCAACCTTGTTTGTTAATGTATATAAAGGATTGATTAGGTTAAGTACAACATTATGTACTGATATTTGGTCTTTATATTTTTCAGCACAACGACTAGGTTAATCTAAAATTGCTTTGGAAACTGAATTATCCAGAGTAAAATTCTAACACAATTGTAACCATGGACTACAATTTACTGACTGTGGATTTTGCAAATATCTGCCACACACAGTCAGTGGCCATCTCTGATAGTGTCATCCAATCACAGTGCATAGATCTAAAATTGGCAATTTGTTCGCAAATACCTCCCTCCCCAGAAAGGATACAAACATTCTGCATAAAATAGTCATTGTTTAAGTTGCTGTATAAAGTCATTGCTTAACATGAAGAGAAACATGAAGTCAAGAACTTCCATCTTCTAGAGCTTCAGTAACTTCAAAAGATCAAATTCTGCTTGTTCCAGATTGTTCAAGGCTCCAGGGAGTCTAGTTTTTCTGCATGCTTCAGAAAGGATTTTCATGGTGCTAAAAGAGTTTGGTTTTACGGTGCTTTATGATCAAGACTGTTGAAAAGAATCTCTCAGTAACTTCCCTTAGAGATCCACATCTCTGTTTTACAAAACATCCATTCCAGATTTGCTCTGCACAAAGCTTCAGATTCCCACCTTGAAGGATTCAGTTTTCTGTGTGTTCCAGAAAGGACATTCATGTAGTAACAAAAGTTTGGATCCCCATTTCTTTGTGTTGAGACAGTTAAAGAAATTTAGCTCCTTTCTCTTACTGCATTGTGGCCCAGCCCAGCTCAGACTCCTGCATCAATCTATCAACAAGCAGAATCCTAAAAATACCACTTTACCAAACATTTTACCAGAGACCTTGGAATAGTGTATTCAGTATATGATGTTCATATTTGATTTAGATGTCTGTAACTGGTATCATTTAATATAAAAAAAAAAAAATCCCTAAGTTACATAATTTTTATAGAAAAAGATCACGTTATTAGACTCATCTAGGTTCATCTTGACAAATATCAACGTAATCACATTCAGTATGTAATAACTTACACATAATTTATGGTCTATTTATTAGATGTGCTAGTGACCTTTGTCTATTCTTTATTTAAAAAAAGCTTCATTTACAGTGGTCCCTCGTTATTCTTGGAAGGTACTTTCTAAAAATAATCTGCAATAGGCGATATCCGCAAAGAAGCTTTATTGTTTTACAATTATTATAGATGTTTTAAGGCTGTTAAACCCCTCACTACACACTTTATACACTTTTCTCAGACAAGCATTACATTTTTTACACTTTTCTCTTGTTTAAACTCTCTCAAAGTTCATAAAAAATCCACTTATACTATAGAATGAAATCAAAGAACAAAACCATTTGATCTTCATTCATTTATTCCATAATGGTGCCCTACAGCTGCATAACTTCTACCTTCCTTTAGCATGTTCAGAATTTCAACATTTTTTGTGCGATGATTAGCATCTTCCTCTGCCTTTTGGGTGCTACCGCAGATGCCTTTGATGGTGCAGAACGTTTTGTTTACATTATGTGGAGAAAACTTGCAAACATACAGTCCAGCACTTTAGAATCACACTGCTAGCTAAACTGCAAGCTGAACGCATTCTGTACTACACAGAAGACGTAGCACGGGAGGAAATTGATTGACAATGCTCTACTGCCAAGCAGGACACAGAACACAATGCGCTGTAAAAGAAAAAAAAAAACATGTCAAATTGCACACAAAAAAATCAGTGAAACTGCGATGGCAAGAAAAGTGACACGTGTTATAGTAAGGGACCACTGTTTTGATAATTCAGTAAGTTAAACAAGTTAAATAGTCTTACAAATCCTTCAGATTGACCAGACGATAAACTATTTCAAAATTATCTCATTTTAAATTTAATGCCAGAAGGCAATTCTGTGACTGGTGCCCTGTTTTCTAAGGAGGAAGTAATCATCTGACTCAAAGGTCCCGTGAAGTGCTTTGAAATGTGCATTTTTATTCAAAGAGAGGGTAAGACATAGAGTAGATCCACCCCTTTAAAAAAAAACAGCCAATAGCATTTTGTTTTCAACACAGTTCTGCTTGAGATCAAGTGCGAAAATGAAAAGCAAATGAGAAGAAGGAGGAGCGACATGTCAGATACTTTAGAGCAGGGGTGGCCAATCCTGTTCCTGGAGAGCTTCCTTCCTCCAGATTTCAGTTGCTACCCATATCAAACACACCTGAACCAATTAATTAGGACCTGAACACCACGTGATAATTACAGGCAGGTGTGTTGATTATGGGTTGCCACTGAAATCTGCAGGAAGGTAGCTCTCCAGGAACAGGATTGGCCACCCCTGCTTTAGAGGATTTGATTGGTCAGATAATTTGATGAGAGACTGAAGTATGAGATGATGTCCAAAAATCGTTGATCCATTTAGGCAGAAGTGACAAAGTGAAAGCTTTAGATGTTTGTATCAGTTCTATATTTTCTAAACATGAATTTTGTTATTGTTAGCTTATAGATATCCTTCAAACAAACAGACTAAAAAAATAACATCTAAAAAATGTAATTAATATTAATATTAATGTGGGAAAACCAAAATATTGCTACAGAATCTTTCAAATACCTGACAGGGGCTCTTACAATGGTTCATGTGTTCTTTCCCCCCCAGACGTATAACACCAATGCTCAGGTACCAGACAGCGCGGGCACTGCCACAGCTTTCCTCTGCGGTGTCAAAGCCAACGAGGGCACGGTGGGAGTGAGCGCAGCAGCTGTGAGATCCCAATGCAACACCACTCAGGGGAACGAGGTCACCTCCATTCTTAAATGGGCTAAAGACGCAGGTGAGATGCCTTGTTCAATCCTCTCACACAGCTGCTATAATGCCTTTCTGCCCGACTTCTACGGCAATTAGAATATAGATGAGATATTTGTTTCCAGGCTCATTTTCTTTGCTAGAAACCCATTAATGTATTTTTGCATGAGAGAAACAAAGGTGACACCGGCATAAAAACCAGGTTGAGCTGATAAAGCATTGCGGAAAACACATCCTTATCTGAAGAAAAGGAGTAAATGAGAAGAGCGACAGTTTGACTGATGAGCGCAACACGCAGACGGCGTCCTCATATTTTATTCTCACGCTGAAAATAAAAACAAATGAAGCGTTTTATAAGATGGAAGTCCTCCGCTGAAGGTAGAGGTGAATGAATGTAGCCGAGCGGAATTTGCACGACATGACCTGAATAAACATTTGAAATTCTAGCTGAGAGGTTTAAAAGGTCTAATCAGTGTCAAACTGATAACCTGAACTGATCTGAGTACAGCAGGAACAGCTTTTTGATGCATTAAAATGTGTACCGTATCACTGAGTGACCTTAGGCAGGAAACAACAAGGCTGCAAGAACTGATGTATGCTTTAGTAAATCCAACAACTAAATAGGCAGTATTTGTTCATTGGATAGATAAAGGAAAAAGTACATCATGTAGATAAACACAGATATGTCCCTACAGAAACAATTAACAGTTGCCACTGCCTGTATTTTTCCCCAGGCAAATCAGTGGGAATCGTCACAACAACGCGAGTGAACCATGCCACCCCGAGTGCTGCTTATGCCCACTGTGTGGATCGAGACTGGTATTCTGATGCAGACATGCCCAATGAAGCACTGCAGAGCGGATGCAAAGACATCGCCAGACAACTCTTTGAAAACATCCCTGACATTAACGTAAGATTCTTATTGAATCTTTATATTTTAGTTTTATATAGAATTGAGTAGAGGACGCAGTGGTGCAGTAGGTAGTGCTGTCGCCTCACAGCAAGAAGGTCGCTGGATCGAGCATCAGCTGGGTCTGTTGGCATTTCTGTGTGGAGTTTGAATGTTCAACCCCGTGTGGGTTCCCTCCGGGTGCTTTGGTTTCCCCCACAAGTCCAAAGACATGCGGTACAGGTGAATTGGGTAAGCTAAAATTGTCCGTTGTGTATATGTGTGAATGAGAGTGTATGGATGTTTCCCAGAGATGGGTTGCGGCTGGATGAGCATCTGCTGTGTAAAACATATGCTAGATAAGTTGCCGGTTCATTCCGCTGTGGCGACCCCGAATTAATAGAGGGAATAAGCCGAAAATAAAATAAATGATTGAGTAGAATTGAGTATGGTCATTCTTATATATGGTAATCTACTATTTGCTTCTCTGGTTTTACAGGAATATAATGGAAATGAAATGCCTTTGTTTTGGAATTATAGATCATTTTGAGGAATGTAAAGAATACCATTGATCCTAACATATTTCCTGTTTTACATTTGTAATTTCCATAGCTTCCGAGAATACAAGAAAGGTACACATGTTGACAAATAATGTCATGATAGCTGTTTTAATGTTAAGATATGATTGAATTGCCTCTTTTTACAGTTATGAAACAATTTAACAAGCAGGAAATGTTTATAGGCCAATGGTATCACCTTATTAAAATGGTCTATAGTTAAATAGTTTATAACAAAAGTGTTATGAGATTATGATGTTAATGATTATTAATACATATTTTAATAGTATGAATAATTTACAACTTGTTAAAATGAACTTATAAAAAGTAATTAAATTTATTAACAATGTAATATTCAGCGTCACGGTGGCGCAGTGGGCAAGTAGCACGATCGCCTCACAGCAAGAAGGTCACTGGTTCGAGCCCCGGCTGGGTCAGTTGGCATTTCTGTGTGGAGTTTGCATATTCTCCCTGTGTTCGCGTGGGCTTCCTCCTTGTGCTCCGGCTTTCTTCACAGTCTAAAGACATGTGTGGGGTGAATTGGGTAGGCTAAATTGTCCGTTGTGTATGTGCGTGAATGAGAGTGACTTTCCCAGTGTTGAAGGGCATGCGCTTTGTAAAACATATGCTGGATAATAATAATAATGAGAATAATAATAATGAGAATAATGATAATAATAATAATGATAATAATAATGATGATAATAATGATGATGATGATGATAATAATGAGAATAATAATAATAATAATAATAATAATAATAATAATAATAATAATGAGAATAATAATAATAATAATAATAATAATAATGAGGATAATAAAAATAATAATGATAATAATAATAATAATAATAATAATAATAATAATAATAATAATGAGGATAATAAAAATAATAATGATAATAATAATAATAATAATAATGAGGATAATAATAAATATTATTATTCTAATATGTATAGTTTGATAATAATATTATACAATAAGCATTACCAATAATAATGCTTGTTAATGTTGATTGACTATTATTATTTTCATAATAATCAATGTTAAATCAATTCTATAATACTATGATGATTATTATATTAAGATATTTTAGATAAAAGCTACAAATAAATGTACTGTAAAAATAAAATGAGATATATATATTTAATTAATCTCAAGTGGTTCCAAACCTTTATGAGTTTTTTTCTTCTAGGGCTGCACAATATATCATTTCAGCATCGATATCAAAATGTGCAAGTCCACAATAGTCACAAGGATCTGCAATGCAGTTGGGATTTTTGTTGACCAGACATTACAGTTAACAACATAGTGGAGTACTTTCAGATTTTAACCTTTGAGTGAAAGTTTATTAATTGCATGTGTTTTTAAGGCTTAAACTTGAAAAACTTGAAGCAAACTTGAGCCATTTGGGGACAATAAATTGAACGTTTATAGATTAAAGGTTAATTGAACATTATATGAATATTTACTTAACTAAAATGATATTTTTATAATAATTATTATTATACAGTTATTTTATTTCTGCTTCCTAATACTGTTTGACTCCTCAGAAAATGATCAATTATTGTTTATCTGCTTATTTTGTCTGTTGTATTGTACTATGTGTGTCATTTTAATTATTTTTTATTTTATGCAGATACGCTCTCTCTCACAATCCTCCCAATAGATCTAAAATTATGATTTCTTTACAAGCTATTCAAGTCATCTGCTGAAATTGCATTTATATCACAATATCGCAGTGAATGAAAATATTGCAATGTTTGCTTTTTCCAGTATTGTGTAGCCCTACTTTCTTCTGTTGAACTCAAAAAAAGATATTTTGAAGAAAGCTGAAAACCTGTAACCATTGACTTCCATAGTCAAAAAAAAACAAACAAATACTATGCAAGTCAATAATTACAGGTTGTCAGCATTCTTCAGAAAATCTTCTTTGTGTTCAGTAGATTAAAAAGGGTGAGCAATTGATGACAGAATGTTTGGGTGAGCTATCACTAACATTTTACTTCATTGAACATCTTCATAATAATTGTTCAGCATTTTCACTGTAAACTGGTTAAATGAGCTTTTCTTTTAGAGCGCACTGTGACGCCTGTCTTTATTTTTTTATTATTTTGATGGGCAGGTGATAATGGGGGGTGGACGGAGAAGCATGTACCCCAAAAACACCCCAGACGTGGAATATCCAGGAGACAAGAAACAGAATGGTACACGCAAAGATGGCAGGAACCTTGTGGGGGAGTGGATTGACAGAGTGAAAGAGAAGGTGAAAGATGAAACGAGAGAAACGCAGGGCACTTCATTCCATCTTTTCATTTACAATGTCATGTCCAATTCAGTCCAGGAAAAAAAAAAAAAAGAAAAACGCTTCCACGCTTTGCCTCTGCTGACAAATCTCTTTTTCATTTTCTGTCTGTGCTGGCCTGGCTCTGCCAGTGCATTTGTGCTCTTTTGATGATGCCCTGTTTATTGACTTCTCTGAATCTCATCTGATTCTCTTGAGGCGCATAAAGCAGGCTTTACAGCTGTGCACTTAATAACACATCAAGACAAGCTGTACTTGTTGTTGTGAAAGCGTATTACAGATATTCCCTAGTGTTCCCCAAGTGACTTAAGAAGGGAATATTATTATAAATTACTGGCCCTTGATCTGCATGTTTTCACCCACAGCACCGATACAGCAGTTCCACATTTCTGCTCACTCACTGTAGCAGCTGGAGATTTACATTGTTTACATCAGCTAAAGTTAATACCAAAGATGGCATCTAAGCCACTGCACATTGTGGTTCATTTTTGAAGACGTGTCAACTGCCGAATAATATCCGAAAAGTGTATTATAGTTACAATGCACTACCTGACAAAAGTCTTGTCATTGATCCCAGTTGTAAGGGCAAAAAATAATAACTTGACTTCTAGTTGATCATTTGGAAAAGTGGCAGAAAGTAGATTTTTTAGATGAATCATCTGCTGAACTGCATCCCAATAATCACAATTACTTCAAAAGACCTAATGGAACCTACATGGACCCAAGATTCTCACATAAATCAGTCAAGTTTGGTGAAAGAAAAAATGGTTTGGGGATACATTCAGTATGGGGGTGTGCGTGAGATCTGCATAGTGGATGGCAACTTCAACAGCCTGAGGTATCAAGACATTTTTGCTGCCATTACAAAACACAGGAGAGGGCAAATTCTTTAGCCGGATAGCGCTCTTGCTCATACTTTAGCCTCCACATCAGAGCTCCTGAAAGAAAAAAGCAAAGAAGGTGAAGGTGCTCCAGGATTGGCCAGTCCAGTCAGTAAGATGAAGGAGGAGGCATTGAAGATGAATCCAAAGAATCTTAATGAACTCTGGGAGTCCTGCCAGAGCACTTTCTGTTAAGTGTCAAGACTTTTGTCTAAGCAAAATCAGACCGTACTGTCCTAATTAAATAATTACACATCAAGGCATGATCATATTTTATTTTAGTTAAAAAAGCACATTCTAGAGGCCTTTACCATTCATATAAGCCACGTTTGATACCAAATGATCAACTAGAAGTCAAGTTATGATTTGTTGTCCCTAAAACATGCAAAGGCGACAAGATTTTGTCAGTTAGTGTAATGTATTTTACGTTAGACTGCTTCACCAATGAGTGTCAGTTCAATGCTGTTTTTGATGTTTTTATTTTAAATTTGTTATTGTCACTTCATATTTTGTAAAAATATGCTGTATGTAACATGCTGTATAGATAATGCAGCTAAAGTTATCATTTTCTCAGACTATTCACAGAGATCAGGGGCCTCATGTATCAACGCTGCGTACGCACAAAAACTTTGCGTACGCCAGGTTTCATGCTCAGAATCGCTCACGTTTGGATTTACTAACGATGAACTGAACGTGGAAATTTTTTGTGCGTGTCTGTTTTATTTCCATTGGCAACTCCTAGAGGCAGTTGTGTTAAATTGCACTCTACAAAGTGTCTGAGCCGTGCATTGACAGCTGTATGAGACGGGTTCATCTAGCAGGTATATAAGGTTTCCATACCATACAGTTGACCAGCCAAACATTAAAGCGCAATTTGCAGCGGTCGCCTGTTTTCCCAATGTAATGGGAGCTATCTACTGCACGCACATTGCTATAAAGGCGCCATCTAAAGATGAATTTGCATACGTGAATCAGAAACATTTCCATTCAATAAATGTGCAAATAAAATATGATGCAAACACTTATTAATGATTCATACTTGTCTATCTCGTGATAAATAGTAGGCAAAATGTGATATGTAGTGGGGGGAAAAAAGGAAAATTAGTTCATCAGACGCTGGATTCGAGCCGAGTTCTTGCTCGAACGTGTCAAAATATGTTGACGTACGTTTTACGAGCTGCGCCACTGAGACTGTTAAAGGTGCTGCAACATTTTACACATATAAATCCCATTATTTTCTGTTTAATCCACTCAGTGTGATGTTCAGACCCAACTGTGTTAACCGCATCAGCTAAACTCTCCCACTCAATTTTTACTTTTGTTATTAATTCCGGTGGACAAACTTGCAAAAAACACAGTTTTTCTCCGGTCTACCTCCGAAAGCAGCACCTCCAATTCACATTCTGTTCAAAGCTTCTCTTTTCGCAGGCTTTTGCCATTGCTTTTTCCTTTGGATTTGCCTAAGTAGAGTCATTAGCATATTCATACGGGGGAGGAGGCAGGGAGGGGTTTTGTGCTTGTGCATGTTGCGCTCAGTTTCACGTTCGGATGTACAAAAGAATATGAGTGGGATTCGGCGTACGCAGTGTTTCATACATCTGAATTTTTTTCTGCGTTTTAGTATGATTTCCACGCAAGTCTTTGTACATGAGGCCCCAGGTGTCTAAGTTTGTTAGATTAATCATGAAAATCCTCATCACCAGCATAACTCATAAATGGACTTCTATTATGTTTTGTGAACGATGGTGTGTTCAAGTCATATCTGAAAAATCACATTACGAGTTTAAAGTTTAGATATCACCACAAAGTCAGTATTATGAATGGAAAATCTGAACTTTTTTCAATCCCGAGTTTCCGAGTTGAGTGTGTGTCAACAAGAAACATTGCGGAATTGATAGATGCAATGTCCGCCATGCTAGTCAGGCTTTGTATTTACAATTTCTTTTTTGAATTTGACAGGATTTGTTATAATATAACAATTAATACGTTTTATGGGTTTATTGTGTTTATTTAGATCCCCGTTAGCCACTACCAACGTAGTCCAACAAATAAAATGACATTAAATCATCATCAAAACAATACAAAAAAACACATTAAAATAACACAACAGATCAGTTACCAAAATTGAAAAAGGATACATTTACACTGAACCATATCAATAGACACTAATACCACCACCAAAGACAAATTTATATTAAACTGTGTGCTCGCATGGGTTTTGCGGGTGCAGTTCAAAGACATGCAGGACAGGTTAATTGGATGAACTAAATTGGCCAGAGTGTGTGTGTGTGTGTGTGTAACTGGGAATGTATGGATGTTTCCCAGTACTGGGTTGTGGCTGGAGGGACATCCGCTGTGTAAAACGTACAACTGAATAATTGGTGGTTCCTTTCATTGTGGCAACCTCTGATAAATCAGAGACTAGGCCGAAGGGAAAATGAATGAATGAATAACTTGAAATTTGTTTAAAATCAGTATCAGTTACCTAAATACTGTTATTGTTTCTTTAATCATTTTAAAACCTTATTTTACTTATTAAAACCTTTATTTATATGATTAGCTTGAAAGTAGCTTCACAGATTATGTACTTCATTTTCTACTAGGAAAGTTAACATACCCTGCTGCATTTTCTTGTTATTTATCCAAAGTCTGTACATCGCCAGGCGACGCAGTGGCACAGTAAGTAGTGCTGTCGCCTCACAGCAAGAAGGTGGCTGGTTCAAGCCTCGGCTGTGTCAGTTGGCATTTCTGTGTGGAGTTTGCATGTTCTCCCATGTGTTCGTGTGGGTTTCCTCCGGGTGCTCCGGTTTCCCCCACAGTCCAAAGACATGCTGTAGGGGTGAATTGGCTAAATTGTCAGTAGTGTACGAGTGAGTATGGATGTTTCCCAGAGATGGGTTGCAGCTGGAAGGGCATCCACTGCATAAAACATGTGCTGGATAAGTTGGAGGTTTATTCCGCTGTGGCGACCCCGGATTAATAAAGGGAAACATTTTATGAATGAATGTACACCACCATCCTGTGCGTAAGAAAATGACTTGAAAGCATCTGACATATATATTATAACTTCTTAACTCGTAAATCTGATAGAATAGCGTGTTAAAGCTCCGCCTTTTTCTTAAAAACAGTGCTCATTTGCATTTAAAGAGACGCACATAAAAAGCCCTCATGCTAATTTAACAACCACATGCAAATTTAATAATCTTTAATAAATGATATGGTATTTTCTGTAATTTACACAGAATTTAAAGGGGGCTTAAAATGTTATGTACTGTATATACAAGGTTACGGTCTTTCTGTAATTCTCTCCTTTACCTCTTAACCTTTGTGTTATTCAGAGAGGTTTCTACGTTTGGAACAAGAAGGATCTCCTTTCCCTCAATCCCAATAACGTGGATTATCTATTGGGTGAGTTTTGTGAACACTGTTTAAGTTAGCTTGTTCGAGGTGTTGTTGTGTTTATTTGTTGTTTGTGCTCTGCAGGTTTGTTCGAGCCAGCAGACCTGAACTACGAGCTGGAGAGAAACACAGAAAATGACCCTTCGCTCACTGAGATGGTGGATGTGGCCATTAAGATCCTCAAAAAAAATGAGCGTGGATTCTTCTTGCTGGTGGAAGGTAATAATATAGTGTACATCACTGTTCATTAAGGCACAGACATGCACCGGGAGGTCAGTTCAGCATCTAATTAAGCTAGTATTAGGTGGTATTTATCAGTGCTGATGAAACTTTTGAATGGCAGTATTTTATAATTGATAATTAAAATTAATTGCATTAAAAAACATTGGAGTTTTGTTTTGAAATAAATAAACAAAAGATGTGCAGCACCTGAAACTACGGATACTGGAAGCCTGTGCTGCATTTCTCCTGCGGTGTTGCTATCAGTGTGTGAAGAGTGGGTGAAGAGGGTTGCATTGACAATCCAACACAATGGGTAGCACATTAAACACATTTTATAAGTGGTCAGAAACTTGTAAATAACTCATGAAAGAATAAAGTTAAACCCAAGCACACCCTTGTTTTTCTTGTGAAATTTCCAAAAAGTTCAATGTGTCACATGACCCTCTTTCTGTTGAAAAAACAAAAGTTGGATCCAAGATGGCCGACTTCAAAATGGCCACCATGGTCACCAACCCATCTTGAAAAGTTTGCCCCTCACATGTACTAATGTGCCACAAACAGGACGTTAATATCACCAACCAATCCCATTTTATTAAGGTGTATCCATATAAATGGCCCTCCTGTTAATGTTAGTTGAGTACATTTATTACTTTGTCTTTGTTAATCACAGTTAGTTTGTTAACTCACAGTGCATTAACAATGCACAACTTCGATTAGTAAATGTTGTAAACAATAAGCAATAAATGCTGCACAAGTATTAATTACTTTAAATACATTAAATATTATTTTATTAATGTACTTAATATTAACATACATTATAATTATATATATGTTATTAGAATTTTATAGTAGTAATATTATTATAACATAACTTAATACAATTAGAAAATAGAAAGTATTTAACATGTTACTTACAAAAATAAATGGTAGTTTTATCGATTTTAAGTATTAAACATTTAATCAATGTTATTATCAAAATATTGATATTAATAAAATTATTATAATAGAATAGATTGTGATTTTTTTATATTTTACATTTTTTATAAGATGACGACTATTGAGTTTAAAAATTTACTTTAAGCATTCATTAAAAATAATTGGATGATTATCTCAGTTTGCTCGTAGCAACACAATGTGACAAGAATAGCACTCTAAAACACTGATTAATTCAATTAAAATGCATGAATTAATACATTTAAAAACAACACTGCAACATCTCAGCTACTCTCACATTACATGAAAACCTTTTCTTTAATTATATAATGGATAATCAAATGATGCCTTGCCTTGATTAAGAAAATTTAAGTAAATTAATTTTATTTAAAAGTGGCATTACAAGATCTCACCTATAGTCACCTTACATAAAAAAAATTAAAATTGTTACTTTAATTTTATATAATTGTATATTAATGGGGAATCAAATCAAGCCCCTGTTTTTAACCCCCTGTAACACTTTGACGCTTGGGTTAACGCTTGATCCACTCCCTAATAGAAAACAAAACAAGATGCAAGGAGGGGTCAACCCTTTAAATAGTGACAAATTGTTTGCCCTGACCTGTCTCTTTAATGGGATCTATTATGTTTCTTTTTACAAGATAAAATAAGTCTCTGATGTCAGTTTGTATGTGAAGTTTCAGCCCAAAATACCACACTAGTTATTTTTTAGAACTGCCCTTTTTAGGCGTTGATCGAAACTGTGCTGTTTTTTTTAAATGAGATTGTGCTTTTTTCAAAAGATATATAAAAGATATACATATACATATATATATATATATATATATATATATATATATATATATATATATATATATATATATATATGTATGTATATGTGTGTGTGTGTGTGTGTATGTATGTATGTATGTATGTATGTATGTATGTATGTATGTATGTATGTATGTATGTATATATATATATATATATATATATATATATATACATACATACATACATACATACACACACACACACACATATACATACATGTATATACAAACACACACACACACACACACACACACACACACACACACACACACACACACACACACACACACACACACACACACACATACATATATATTTTGGGGGAGATCCAATGTATATTTATATTACCTGTTATTTAATTATAGTATATAATATAAATTTGATCACCCCTACAAAGGTTCAAACCCTTGCGAATGCATATTTGCTCCAATCAATTTATGAAAGTAATATGAAACTGGCAGTTTTAGACACCAACAGACACCTCAAATGTTCACAAAACACTTGTAATCTATGTTTGTATCTACACATAGTCTAAAAGTACAGTACATTTTTATGCATTGTTTGCATTTTAATTGATACCAGCTCGCACATAGCAGGTAAACAATAAAATAATAAGTGCAATCTTTCATGATCATCCATTTACTGGCCCATTTACATAAACCGGAGTCCATTGGTTTTATATCAAGAATAGGTCATCTTTGAGAATCACACATCTGCTAAAAAAAGCCAATCAGAAGTTACTGTAGGTCAACAAACATTCAAAATAAACAATGAAAATCTAAATATGTTTGATTCATAAATTAACTGTAGTTTAATTAAATCCATACATTTGGTTTATTACACAAACTAACTTGTGTAATACATTAGAATGTATTACACAAACTAACATTATAGTAAATCAAATGATTTTGCTTGCATTAAAGGCAAAGATTTTTTGAGAACTAAAGTATATCTACACGACAGGTGGACGCATTGACCACGGACACCATGAGGGAAAAGCCAAGCAGGCCTTACATGAAGCTGTGGAAATGGACCGGGCCATTACTAGAGCCGGTCTCCTGACAAGCGAGTATGACACGCTAACCGTGGTCACAGCCGATCACTCTCACGTCTTCAGTTTTGGAGGCTACACACCACGAGGAAACTCCATCTTTGGTAAATGATGAGCTCTTTAATTACAGAGTAGACTGTGATTTCTGGCCCATGTATTGACCTTTAAGTGTACTTTTACAGGTTTGGCCCCTACATTGAGTGACGTCGACCAGAAGCCTTTCACAGCCATTCTATATGGAAATGGCCCAGGGTTTAAGTTGGTCAACGGTGCCAGAGAAAACGTCTCAACGGTGGACTACCGTAAGTAATTACAGGCTTTCTGAGGATCTACTTTTGGGAGGATTGGAATGCTGCTTTGGGTTTAATTGTTCCTGTTTGGTTGTTTTTTTCCTCTTTTAATGGCATGTCACGTAACCGCTAAGACATATAATGTAAAAAAAAAAAAAAAAAAGAAGCCTACTGTATACTCTGTAGGGAGTACAGTACTTTAAGGGTGGGTACTTAGATCTGATGGCACGCTTGATGGATTGGAATGCTTACAAACCATTTGAGGATATATGATGAGTAGGGCTGCACGATCAAATAGCAATTTTTCTAGTCAAAATTGCGATTTACTACCATTTCATAAAAAGAGCTACAGGCTTGATGTGGTGGTTTTAACAGAGCCAAATAAAAAAAAAAGACCAAGCGCAAAATATGCTAGATTAGGCTTCTATTTATTTAAAGGGCTATGATCCCCCCCCCACCCCCCGAGTGTATACAAAACTCCAGTTTAAAAAAAATCAGAAAAGTAGATGAGTCCAGCTTTGTTTTGCTGGCAGTGTCAAGTGGCGAAAGAGGGAAGGGTTTGCATGAAAAGGGGGGTTTCAGTACGAGCATATGCTGATTTTCACAGAGGCAAAACAAACACAGATGCAGATGACTAAGTTTATATGGACATCAGTAATCAAATTATTTGCTAAATTATTCATTTGTCGACTTTAACTGCAGTTAGGCACTTTCACTTTCATTCAGGAACATTTTAATGCATGCTCCCCGTGACAAACGAGATAATGGATGTGAGGAACTGCTGGAAGAGTGTAGTTTTTTATAATTATTTTTAGGGAGTTTAAACCTTTAATATATAGAATAGTGCAGAGAATTGATAGAAAATAGTTGGAAGCAGAGAGAGGGGAAAAGTCGGCAAAAGACCTAAAGGAGGGAATAGAACTCTGGTCGCTGTGAGCACCATGGTGCTATACTGTATGTCAGCGCACTTAACCACTAGAAAAGTGTAGTTTTAACAGAATGTTTGATACCGAATGGGATAAAAAAACTCAGCATTTATCTATTACTTAGACGCAGAGACTCGGCAGGTGCAGAGAATAGCATCAAACAGCCGTGTGTGTATAGAATATCCTGTCACACAATGAGGCGAAAATCCACACTGGATCCACACAAGGATCTAATCGCCGTGAAAGAGCTTCAGAAAATCCTTTCAAACTATAAGACGAACTTGCTCAAATTAATGCAAAAATAACCAATTTTCACTTTTTTTGTGAAATATATCTGTCCTAATAGTGTTTTTAGCTGACATTTATATGTGTTTTTATGTGTCAAAAATGTGTTTTGGTGTTTCATGATGGTTTAAAACCTCTTAAACATTTCCATTTATTTAAATTAAGTTGTCAGTTGTCATGACAAATTCATTCATTTTCCCTCGGCTTAGTCCCTTTATTCATCAGGGGTCGCCACAGCGGAATGAACCGCCAAATTATCCAACTTTACACAGCAGATGCCCTTCTAGCTACAACTCAGAAAAATCCATACACATTCATTCACACACACACTACCGACAATTTAGTTTATTTAATTTATCCAATAGCGCATGCCTTTGGACTTTGGAACCGAAGCCCCCAGAAGAAACCCACACCAATACCAGGAGAACATGCAAACTGCACACAGAAATGTAAACTGGTCAAGCTGGGACTCGAACCAGCAATCTTCTTGCTGTGAGGTGACCGTGCTAACCACTGCCACTAAAAGTGCCAGCACCACACTTGGAAATTACCTGAATTATTTAAAAATTGTCAAACTCAACAGTTTAACTGAAAGGGAGTTGTAAAACTATTTCTAAAAATAAAGAAAAAAGTGTGTTCCTTTAAGTCTTCATTGAGTGGTACGGCTGGCCAGCTGTTCTCTGATTCAGTGTCAGCTCTGAATGTCAAACTCAGCAGCTGTTGACTGATGATATAGTGCATCTCTCTCGGTTTCACCACTCATCTTTCTTCTTCTCCCTCTAAATGTTTGACAAGTCATAGAATTATGGCTATTGTTCTGGTCGGCATCTCTGTTTCATTCTGTTCTTCTTTGCTTTATCTGGCTTCTCTTACTGTTTCATTATTGTTCCGCAGCACAGGTTTTTCTGCTTCAGTTGCTGTTTTTTACTGATTAAGCATATCAGTTCGTCTGGGGATGTCAAATGTATAAAAGGAGGAAACACTAATTTATCTCGTTTTTAAATATTTATTAGTTAAATAATTAAATAATTAAATGTAAGTATTAACTGGGTCAGTTGGCATTTCTGTGTGGAGTTTGCATGTTCTACCCGTGTTCTTCCCAGTGTTGTGTTGTGGCTGGAAGGGCATCCGCTGCGTAAAACCTTTATTTATATGATTCGCTTGAAAATAGCTTAATAGATTATGTACTTAATTTTCTGCTTGGAAGGTTAACAAATTCTGTAAATATATTTACTGGATAAGTTGGCGGTTCATTCCACTGTGGCGACCCCTGATAAATAAAGGGACTAAGTAGAAAAGAAAATGAATGGATAAATCTAAGTATTAAATTGCTTGATGCAATATCTTCTGCTGGATACTGTTGTTTTAAATTGTTCATTTATTTTTTAACTTGTGGGTTATTTTCTTTTTATTTAACATAAGTTTTAATAAATCTACAATAAACAATTTATTTATTAGTTTTTATTAGTAATTCAAAAATGTTTACACTTTCACACACAGTGTATTTTTAAGTAATTAATGATATTAATATTTAATTAGTGCTTATTAAATATTAATACAGCTTTGTAATTACTCATTTATTTCCATTAATTATTTAGAAGAAGCTTAAAAGATACATCATATATTTAATAAGGATTTGGTAATATTCAGATTAATATACAATTAAAGCAGTGTTGTCTTAAATATCAATTTTAGATTAATTGTGATTTAGTTTTAATATAAAATTAGAATTACTTGTTTATTTCTCCTAATTATTGTAAAAGTTTGACTACAAACCGTCAAATATTATATTGAACTAAAATAGTTCATTATTAACTTATTAATTGTAATTTAATTTTCATATAAAATGAAGTATTTATTTGTTTATTACTTTTAATTATTGAGTAACTCTTTCAGAGTACATACTACCACTCCAACTTTCATTTGTTAATATCCATATAAACATTTAACTAACATAGTGTTTTATAATTTAAATTAATTTGAATTAAACTCCAATCTAACACTATAATTGTATATTTACTTCTCATAATTATAAAGAAATGCTTTCAGGCTTCATACTATTGTTGGTCACACTTTATTTTGATGGTACATTTGTTGAATTTAAGTTACATTGCATCTACATGCCAACTAATTCCCATTAAATAATAAGTAGACTGTTAGGTTAGGGTTGGGCTTAGGGTGTGTGTAAGCTGACATGTACTTGCAAAGTTTCTTTTAGTCAGTTAAATGTCTGTTGAAGGAGCAGTATCAGCAGATAGAAGCTGACAGTATACTAATACTCAAATGGACCATCAAAATAAAGTGTTACCCTATTGTTTGTTTTATGTATTATATATGTATAATGTCACATTTCAATGATTAATTTTCATAAGAATTAAATGCATTCAGGATACTATCATTTGGATTTTAATTGATTAACATTAATAGTTAAGCTATTTAGTTTTATTAAATAACGGGATATTTATTGTTATACAACAGTTCTGTCTGATTCTCAAATCTGATTGGCTGATAGCCCTGCAATATTCTGCAATATCAGAACTCTTACAGCCTCTTTACTCTTTGTGTATTACTCCGCCCGCATACAGCCAGCAAAAAGCAGACACTACAGATCTAAAGTTTAAAAGATGCTTGCTCAACTGTTTAACTGTCAGCTTATGATTTGAATCCGGAAGAAAGTAGTTCCTCATACAAAAGGGTTTTTGAGACTCATGTTTGATTTTGTTTTTATATACACAATTATGTTGTCAAACTGTTGTATAAACGCAATATCACACTCTTAGCAGTGCACTCGGCCTGCGCCCTCGTGCCAACGCACGCCTCCCACCAGTGCCATACAGCCATATCGCACTGCTACTCGTGTGATATTGCTCATTAATCTGATTTCAATATAACCTTTTAATTATCACTTAATTCTCCAAATCCAGGAATATTAATTTTACATTATTATTATTTCACCAAAGTAGTTAGTCAATAAAATTCTTATTAAAAAAAACAAATCTCAGTCAATCGATAAATGCCATTCTGATATTCTAATATCTGGTCCATCTTCTGCCACCAGAGCAAAACAACTATCAGGCTCAGTCTGCAGTTCCTCTGCGCATGGAGACTCATGGAGGTGAAGACGTGGCCATCTTCTCCAAAGGTCCCATGGCTCATCTTCTTCACGGCGTCCAGGAGCAGCACTACATCCCTCACGTCATGGCCTACGCCGCCTGCATCGGCCAGAACAAAGACCACTGCCGGACAAACTCGGGCTCTTCTTCATACTTCAGTCACATCTCTCCAGCACTGCTCTTTCCTCTCTTGGTCAAATGGCTGCTTTGCTGACCCTTCTTCTCTTAAGATGTCTTCAGATCAAGAACTTTCCTTAATCTTTCTTTTAAGCAGAGATGATGTTGTTTTTGATAATACTGTACATGGTTTTAGTTTTTAAGCATTTATCAGCATTGGGACCAATGTGTGGGCGTTTTGGAGAACCTGAAGAGGCCAGTTTGAGATTCTGTTGCAATCATGAGAAGAAAATGTAAAATGCTCTTTGTTTTTTAAAACACAAGTAAGAATGTTGGTGTAATGAATGCCAGTGATTCAGTGCATGAATGTGATGTTGGTGTTTAAAGGGTTTGTTTGGTCTAAAATGAAAACATACTTGTTATTTACCCAGCCTCAAGTGGTTACAAACTTTGTTTCTTTCTTTTGTTGAACAAAACTGAAGATATTTGGAGGAAAGCTAAAAAAATTAACTATTAGCTTCCAACCACCTATTTTTATGGGAATATTGCATTTAAAAAAATGCTTAATGGAAATGTCAAGATGCACATAAACGTTAAAATGCACATAAAAAACTTGTGCGCACAACTGAATAGGATAAACTTTTGTTGAATAGTGATTGAAACATTACCAAATAAATTTCAGCATTCGTTTCAAAAAAGTCATGTTATTTTTGTTTTAATAGTTAATTTGATAACAAAAATTGGTGTGATGGAACGCCATTAATGGACAAGCTAGTGGACCAAACATATTCTGAAATGTAGTTTTGGTCATTCTAAAATCCCTCAGCCAAAGTCTATCATCAAAGTAGTTGAGTATTATAACCTCAGAAACCGCGTTTACTGCATTTCGTCTTCTGAGTTGCAAGTCATATATTATATAAGGAAAAAGAGCAACGGTGGCTTCTACTGCTAAAAATTGCATTTTTCATTTTATTGTTTGGTGGCAGTTTATCAGGAAGTATTTCTGTGTTTTGTTCTCTTTGACACGTTGGATGAAAATGGTTCTTTATTCGCAAATGTTTTATTCCTGTTAGTTTTAAACACATAATTTTGATTAGCATATTTGGATGAAAACATTGCTATTTAGAAAACACAAAGGCTATGTTTAGATATCAGCAACGTAACCAAAACTGAACTTGTTTCTTGTGTTTAGAAAAAGTTTTACGTCTACATGAAAATGGTTTCAAAACAATCGTCATTTCCCAAAACACTGTATTGCATATACAGTATGCCAGGCCGGTATTTGAGACCGTGTTAGTAAACAGTGTCTGTAGGAAAAAGACAATGTGCTGTCGGTGGATCGGCGCTTATGTTTATGTATGTGGTGTGTATGTAAGATCCATCTCTGCTTTTGGTTGTAATGTTGAGTAAATCCCAAATTTATGGCCACAAATACTATGGAAGACAATGGTTAAAAGTTTTAAACTTTTTTTAAATATCATCTTTTGTATTAAACAGATAAAAGAAACTCAAACAGGTTTGTGACAAGTAAAGACTGAGTAAATGATGATAGAACTTCTTCCAACTATTAAAAAAGATATACATTCAAATAAATAATTAATGCCAAATGTAGTCAGATGAAAACATGGCTAATGATGGAAATTAATGATGTTTTATGAGGTAATTTACAAATTGGATGATCCAAACAAAGTGTTGTGAATAACAAGCTCAAACGGCACATATTTTAGATGTGAAATTTTGAAAACGTTTAAGCAAAGATACATCAAGTTCATTAAAATGACTGTAAAACATTTACGAAGTTACAATCTAAACAATGGCAAGCTGTGTTAACCCAATATTGGGTCAAATACATTGGACAAATTTTTAAAATTATATTTAACCCAATATGGACAAACCGAACATTTGGGTTTAAAAGTGTAATTTAAATTGAATTGAATAAATGAACCCAAGGCTGGGTTATGACAACCTATCATTTTTTAGAGTGTAATATTTCTATTTTACTGTATTTTTTAATCAAATAAACAAGATTTCTCTGAATTTTTTTTCACGAAGTTCATAAAATAGAACAGAAATGATTTTGCTCCTTTTGTGATCTTTAAGAAAATAATTATAACAAATAAATGCTTTTTAGATGTTTCAGGTTTTAAAGTGTGAATCTAGCTGATATTTGACCAAAAAATTTAAGAAAGAAAGAATTAAATTTCCACTACAACTAAAACTAAACAAACCACAGTCTGCGATTATTAGAAGATCATTTATAATACACCACCACACCTCATGCAAAAAAGTACTCAAAATCATCTTTTCACACAGCATTTCTATTTTGTCTCACATTTGAAGTCAAATACAATCTACCTCACTGGCATATGGGCATAACATCTGCCTTAAAGACCGGTTCAAAACACCCATCTGCAACTATTACTCCACTTCTTTGAAAATAGACTCATTTTACAACTCACTTAGAGTCAAACATTTTAGTTTTACTATTTTTTAATCTATTCAGCTGATTTCAGGGTCTAGCAGGAGCCCTTTTAGCTTAAATTTGCTTAGCATAAATTATTAAATTGGATTAGACTATTAGCATCTTAATCAACAAGGATATTTGAGGACTTAAAGCTCGACTCATCTTTAGTTACATGTACATTGTGTACTAAGACCGACGGAAAATGAAAATCTGCTTTTTTTATAAGTCAATAGATAGGAACTACACCCTCATACTGGCGTAATAGTCAAGGAACTTTGCTGCTGTACCATGGCTACAGCAGGTGCAAAGATCATAGACACCACTGTTACCTAGCTGGAAACTATTTTAAAAGCAGTTTTTCTTAATACACGATGTAACTACAAACTTAACTGTTTTTTTTAATTTTTTGAGCGAGATGCTAATGGTCTAATCTGATTCAATGGCTTATGCTAAGCTAAGCTAAAGTGCAGATCGGCTTAATGGATTTAAAAATAGTAAAACTCAACAGTTTAACTGTAGGGCAGTTTAAAATGAGCCTATTAAAAAAAAAAAGTAAATGTTTCCCATAATTTTTTTTTTTTTTTTTTTTTGGCGGAATTCTTTGTATGCAAAGCAAACATTATTGTCTGAATTATAAACATGCTTGATGCTGAAAGCAGAAGCAAATGTGGTTTATGTTTTTGTTATGTTCATCCATCATGTTTCCACATAATTGTTTTGAATGCAGAATCTGAACGCTAACTGTCCATTTGTTATTTGTTTATAGCAGTCTGTGAGTCTCTCTATAAATGTCGGCAGTTCATGAATGATAACAAAAATATGGATTTGAAGTAAAAGGCCAAGCGTTTATTTTCATTGGATATTCAGTTGGAGTCCAATTCAAACATGCTGTTACTGCAAAAGTCATTAAATATACAAGAAGCTCTGGAGATGCAGAAATTACACAATAAAGAAAATATGTGTGGGGAGATGTGGTGTCATTTTGTTTCATATGCTTTAGTGTAGTGTTGTGGTTTAGCATAAGAGATTAGACACTGTTTAAAGGGCCTTAGTGAGCAATATGAGAAAATAAAATGACTAATAATGACATTTAGACATGAAGCTTAACGTTTCGAATGGTTGCTGCTGTCAGGATTTGAGGGATGGATATTTTATGGCACATTATGAGCGTAGTGCGTAGGTGCATTTCCATAAAAATCACAATTGTGACAAATGTCTGGTCAAATAAGTCAGCAGCATCAGCTAGCGATAATATAACGTATGATTTAGAGATAGATTTTAGAGGCCTATGAAATCGCTGAATATGGTCATAAAATGGAATTTAATGTTCTATGTGTAATGTCAGATTTTTATATGAATAGACGATTATAACTAGATGTGTCTATTAGTCACTAAGATGGGGGCTACTGTTTGTGCATATTATGAAGTTATGAAGGTAATTTATGAAGTTAATTATGAAGTTTGAATGTCTTTTTAGATGTGTGAATCAATAAATTGGAGATAGTTCTTATAGATACTTCAATATAATAATAATAATATCAATAAATGGCTTATTAAAAAAATTCTGGAATAATCACACATTTTCTTCAATGTTTTTAAAAAGACTACAATATAATAATTTAAGGGGAGATCCTGATATCATGGAATCATGATATAATTTAATTGTGTGAGAATGTCAGAATTTTATATTACTAGATATATATTTATAACTAGATGTGTCTATTATAATTAAGTCACTGAGATGGGCGGTGATGCAGTAGGTAGGTAGTGCTGTCGCCTCACAGCAAGAAGGTCACTGGCTTGAGTCTCGGCTGGGTGAGTTTGCGTGTTTGTGAGGAGTTTGCATGTTCTCCCTGCGTTCGTGTGGGTTTCTTCCGCATGCTCTGGTTGCCCCCACAGTCCAAAGACATGCAGGTGAATTGGGTAGGTTAAATTGTCTGTAGTGTATGAGTGTAAATGAGAGTGTATGAATGTTTCTCAGAGATGGGTTGCAGCTGGAAGGATATCCACTGCGTAAAACATGTGCTGGATAAGTTGGCGGTTCATTACGCTGTGGCGAATCCGAATTAATAAAGGGACTAAGCCGAAAAAAAAAAAAAATTAATAAATGAAGTCACTGAGATGTGGGCTACTGTTTGTGCATATTATAAAGTTAATTTATAAATGTAATTATGTCTTTGTAGACATGTAAATCAATAAATTGGAGACAGTTAATAAAGAAACTTTCATATAATAATAATAATAACAACAACAATAATAATAATAATAATAATAGTAGTAGTAGTAGTAGAAGTAATAAATGGCTCATTACAAATTTTCTGGAATAATCGCACAAATTTTCTTCAATGTTTTTAAAAGGACTAACAGAATTTAAGGGGAGAAAAAAAGAATCATGATATAAAATAATAAGACTAGCCTTTTGATTCCTAAAATTAAATGAAAGCAATAAAACTCTTTAGTATTTCAGAGAGAGTTGTCTTGACTGTCGCATCTCGCCAGGTTATTGCTTTTTCTACTCTTTTAGCTAAACGAGTCATTATTATCAAATGGAAACAGGTACTTCCTCCATCTCATGACAATGATCTTTAGCTGCATAAAACTTGAGAAGTTTTGACTTGCAGGATCTTTCAAATCTTTTTACAAGACGTGGAACCCTGTTTTAGAATATATCAAAGGCTCACCCAGTTCAGTTCTAATAGATCAGTTCTAATACACAGTAAATAACTGGAAAGAGGAATTATTGACTACTTAATGCAAACTTTTCTCTTTTTAATTTTTTTTTGTAAACTTGCTCAATTATTATAATTTTTCATTCATTTTTTATTTAAATTTTTTTAAAGATGTTTATTTTTTCTAAGAGGATATGTTTGTTTTTAAATCATAAATTTATTTTTTCTTTTCATTTTGAGGGGATAATAAGAAAATAAGGAAACTAAGACAGTGTATATTTTTTCCTATGTTGAATTGTATACTACTAAGCATGGTCTTGTTAGGAACCAATAAAAAAATGCAACCAATAAAACTGTCCAGAAAAATTAAAAAGAAAAAAAAGTAATCAAGAAAATGGTAAATAATGGATCTCAATGAATAATTTTCATTTTTGAACAAACAATATGTTTTCCTCTAAAATGGAGAGTAATAATACTAATAGTATAAAAACCTACTAAAAGGAATAAAACATTTTGGCCACAACAACAACATTTTAGGGGGAATTTTTAGGAGTTTTAAAATTTGTACAAATGTAAAAATTAAAGTCCCACAAAAATTTAAAAAAGGAAATATATACATATATTTAACTTTAGAAATAACTATTTCTTAAAGTTTCATTTTGTTCAGTCAGGTCTGTCCTAGAGCAGTGAAGAAGCCACCGCCGGCTGCTTTAATGAGGGAGTGTGATATTTGATGTCACCTGAGAGACTCCTCTATGGAAATGAGCAGATACCAAGCCCTAAACTCATCTTCTTTTAGCTTCTTTGGCCTCTGTCAGAGTCCCAGTCTACTTGTTTTTATCATCCTCCTCCCATTTTACGTTACGTGACAATTTGCCAGAGCTTCAGTCCTCGTCTTCAAGGCTGTGGGTTTATATCCATCATCTGGATCTGCCTATATCACCCTGACATTCAAATGCCAGAGCCGTTCATTTCCATAGACTGCAGCGCCAGTGTCCTTCTGGCCTTCACAAACTGGTGATAAGACATAAAGCAGTGGGGGAAGCGGGAAACTACAGCAAGACAGGCTTTAAATGAACAAGGTATGAAGCCTGAAACACTGAAAAAAGTATTTATAAATATGTTTACTAAAATACCAGTAAATTTATCAAGCCAACATATCTTATTTAATATTATTTAACTAGAAATTTTATATGATTAATTTTCCTTCTTATTATTGTAAAATAATTATACATATGATTTAATGATGTAAATAGTAAAAATATTTATACACGGCTGTCGACCTTAGATGGCTAATGATGGTTTTGGAAAACGCACCCCAGAATAGTTTGATAGTCCTACGGAGTGATGCGCCTGTCTAACACAAGTATTGGGCCTAGGGAAAGCCATGATATTGAAGCCCAAATCATCACTGATCCACCCTCATGCTTCACAGTCTGAGTGGTATGTTTCTTTGGGGCTTCTCCACACCATAACTCTCCTATATGTGAAAAAGACAGTAACAGTGGACTCACCATAGAACAATACAAGTTTTACATTGTCCACAGCCCAACATTTACGCTGATGGCACCATTGAAACGGACATTTGACATTGGTATGAGTGACCAGTGGTTTGGCTACAGCAGCCTGTCAAGTATACTGACCCTGTGGAGCTCCTGACAAACAATTTTGGTGGAAACAGGAAAGTTTAAGAAGAGCTTGTATAAAATATGAACAAGTATTAATCTATTTTGAAAGCCCAAAATATGAACAATAGAGCGTTATATAAAATAATGCTGTGCAATTAATTGAAAATCCGGTTTCGATTTCGGCTTCTAACGATTATGAAAAATCATTAATCAAGATAAACGATTATTGCATCATATACTGCCCCCTTTCCAGTTGTACACATTTGTTGCTCTGCAAAGCTCAGTTTCACATGAAAATGACTAAAAGCATGAACTGTAATGTAACGTGCGCATTGTTCATTAATGTAGACCCTACATTAGAGTCATTCGTATTTTTAAAAGCGCGAAAGAGCACATGCTTGTTTGTGTGTGTGTGCGCGCCGCACTTGGCCTCGGACAGCCTCGGAAATGAGCAGAGCACACCCATCTAACGCCATCTTAATGTGAGCGCTTTAATGGTCAAATACATGCACATTTGTGTCAGAGCGCGGTGTTCAGTGATTATTTATATTAACCCTTGTTTTGGTAATAAACAAACATGTTGAGAATCAAAAGACATCTGAAAGAGAAACCATATCAGAGCCGCACTATTCTTAAAGTGACAGTGCGCAATATCCCTGCTGCCGCCTGTTTTTATTATTAATCAAACTACAAAAGGAGAAAATCCCTCACTGCTCTTGACTGAAGGTCTTTTGTAGCTTAAGTTTTTTTCATACAGGGAAGATGCTTAAAGCACAGTTTAAACATAATAGATTTAATAACTCATTACTAATAACTGATTTCTTTTATCTTTGCTATGATGACAGTACATCACATTTAAGATACTAATATTCAGATTAAACTGACATTCAAAGTTCAGACAATCAAAAATAAATATTGCTTAAAGGGGCTAATAATATTTAAAATAGGTTTCAAAATATTTAAACCAGCTTTTATTCTAGCCGAAATAAAACAAATAAGCCTTTCTTCAAAACAATAATATTATTGAAAATACTGTGAAAAATTCCTGTTAAACATCATTTGGAAAATATTTATATATAAAAATAAATTCACAGGAGGGCCAATAATTTTGACTTTAACTGATAATCGTTTTGAATAATCGTGATTACAATTATGACCCAATATAATCGTGATTATGATTTTTCCCATAATCGAGCAGCCCTAATATGAAATTATATGCTTTTTTTTTTGTCCATACGATATATACTGTCATATTGCAGAACCCTAGAATCAGGATATTTGAGTCAGTACTTTGTTTCCTCTGTCCTCTACAGTTCTATACTCGTCCTCTGAAAGGAGCATGTGTGAAAGAGAGCTGATCTGGAGATCTGTCTCCTTGAGAAATCTGGCATCAGGCATGTGTAAAGCGGGCTGAATAAACCGAGAGAAAGGGGCTTTAAACAGACTCTTGCTCTCTCAGATCAAACCAGCAGCGCAGGGCCAAGCTGACAGCCATCATAAAGAGAGCGCTGAGGCTGCAAGAAGATCCTAATGCTGGCTTTTACAAACACTATACCCTTCTTTAACCCTCTCTCGCTGACCTCTTACACAAGACTTGAGCAAAACAAGCCTTCAGGAGCAGGAATAAAGTGACAATGAATGGAGAACAATGCATCTACTATTGTCAGATCT